GGTATGGCAGCGAATCTACCATCCTCCCTCTATCCACCTTCTATCTTTCGCCTCTTTGATCGAACCGAGGAAAACAAGATCGTAAGGGATACTAATAACCCTTGAATGAATTATTAATCCGTGTACCGTTACGATCTCTATCTTTTAATTAGATACATCTCGCGATTCTTCTTGCGTGAATCCTCCTCCTCCTCCTCCTCCTCTTTATTCGTGCGCGAAGAGATACGTCGTCGAGATAAAAAAAAAAAAAAAAGAAGAAGAAGAAAAAGAAGAGAAGAAAAGAGGGAGCCGATCGATCGAGCGACAAATCGATCGAAGATTCTTAACGAGATCGATGACGCGGAGGAAACGACAAGGAAGAGGGAGACAAGGAGGAGGGAGAGGTGTGTTACGAAACGTTCGTTCCGTTGTACATGCAATTTTCCACGGCGAGAGCATCGAGAGGAGGAAGAATCGGGGAACGTGGAATTCGAATGCGCTGCGTTTATGCGCGGCGTATTCCGAAATTGTTTCTCGGTAGTTGGCCCTGTCATCGCGTGCTCGGGACGAAACGAAACGGCCCATTACGGGAGGGAGGGAAAAGAGGAGGGAGGAGGGCGGTTGGAGTGGAGCGGGATAAAGAAGGAAGGGGTTAAGTAAGCCTAGGAGGTAGAAAAACGGGCTTCCTCGACACTGGCTTGCCTCCCTTTTCCATTTCTTCTCCATTCCCCTCTTTTCCTCTCCTCTTTTCGCGATTATATTCTCGAAATAGTCAACCGGATGCCGGCGCGCTCGCGGATATTCCGTATATTTCTGGCCACCCTTTTTCCAACGAAAAATAATGAACATTCGCGTTTCTCGAGTATAGGTCGATCGAGTATACGGGAACGAAATTATATAAAGAAGAGGGGTATCCCTTCCTCTTCCTCCTTTCGAGGGATGTTGCGAGGAATCGATGAGAGAGGGGAGGCGGGTGGGAAAGAAATCGATGGAACGAGAAGAGAGGAAGAAGAGGATTCGCGAGGAATGCGGCACGAGTTTGTTTGAAGAGGCATCATCGATTGACCGGGAGAGATTCGATCGACGCACCGTGTAATTTCCTTCGCGCTCGATTCCAGCTTCGAGCTGATCGACGCCAACCGAATGTCTTCATAAGCGTGCACGCGATTCGTTCGTTCCATCCGGTGAAGAGACGAGAATTTTTTGAGTACGAAATTGGTAAATTGAAGAGAAGAAAAGAAAAAGAAAATTGTAGGGACGATTAAGCATTGTATAATTAAACCTTTTCTTCTTCTTCTTCTTCTTTTTAATACTTTTTAATACGATATAGGGTGAATAGAGATTTTCCATAAAAATTGCGAATTGAAATTTGCTGAACCCGTAGGTGTACACACGGTGAGACCTCGCGTTTTATGCGGTTTAACGTGTGCAAAACTGTTCGAAGGGTTTCGGATTAAGCGCTTTCCGCGTGGCTGGACGAGCATGGCGTCTGAATTACTTGGTGAAAATCGATAATACACTCCTCTCCATAATGCTGTCGGCGTACGGCAGC